GCGACATTTCTTTTGACTCGCATAATCTTGCTTTAATAACACCCCATTTAACTGGTTCACGGACTTGCTCAGAATCTGTTTAGAGCTAGAGGACTAATGGTTTGCGTCCTCATCTTCAAATTATGCAGCACTTGACTGTAATTTTCTCATTTGTGGAAGCACAACTGTGGAATTAATTGGAAGGCTTGGGCCCATGTTGTGCGAAACATATGAGTGATAAGGGGATTTGTGTGTTGTATTTACAAGGTGACAGCATCAGGGTGTGGTAATGAGGCTCTGTGTCAGATGATGTTTGTTTTTCCCAAATGTTGTTGTAAAACATAGAGGAGAAAAAATGGTATTTCAAGAACAGGTGGTGTCTCAGTCTTGGATTGATTGTCAAGTCTTTGGGCATAATTAATGGTGCTTGCTAAGAAAAGCATCCCAATTACTATTGCTCATATGTAGGTTTAGGAATCGATTTAATGTAAATGAGTTACTCCACTATTGCTAACAAATTAGTTTTTATCCAGAACGACCATGACCATGTCACACACATTTGTTGATCGCCTTATTTGTGTTTCTGTTACTTACCGCGTTGCACCTGATTAGAGCATTTATGGATTAATGTGGATGTTTTATGTTTGTTAAAAAGATTCACACAAAAATGTGCATTTGGTTATAATTTACTTAGCTTCATGTCATTCCAAATCTGTATGAATTTATTTCTTAGAACAGAAGATGATATCTCAAAGAATATTTAGATTTTTTTTTTTTTACAGTAAATGTCAAGCCAGTTTTGCGCCAGTTGACTTTCATTGTATCGACCGAAATCTTAAAAATATATTTAGTTGTTCCACAGAAGTAAAATAAAATAAAAAATTAACAAACAAACAAATGTTAAAAAACTATACAATGATAACCAAACATTTCTTGGCATACTATTTCATATATTTTGAGTTGAAAAAAAATTATGAAATGAGATCCAGTATTATTTTATGTATTAATATATGGTGACATTTACAGTAGTATTATATATTTATGTGGTATGTACATATAGTAAGTACTGGTAAACTACGCAACGTTTCAGAAGAAAACAGAATTTCTTTTTTCTCCCTTGAGCTCATTGTGCTCTTATTGTGGTCCTAAAGTATGGTGTGAATTTTGATGGTGTGAAAGATGATTCAGCTCTCCGGTGTAAGCTGTCCGGTGTATTCATGGCTATTAGTTGTTGGTGACATCATCCGATAACTTGATTTCAAGCCCATTACTTGGTCCTGCGGCCAAGACAAGCTTTGTTTCTCTCTGTCAGTGCTTAGAGAAACTTCCTTGATCCTCCCCGAGGAAAATATTTTTTTTCACTCATTTTTCTGAAGTGTATATCTAAAATTTGCCCTTCGTAGTAGATCTCCAGATTTTAGTGTCTCAGCTGTATCTCGTTGTCCTTTCCTTGAAATGGTTAAACCTCCTGTTTTCCTCCACCCACCTGATCGTAATAGTTGGGATGTGGTTGTAACATTGACTGCTTTACCCTTCGCCCATCCAGGCATGAATAATTGATCAGATCCGGAAAGTGCAATAAGTGGACCACATCCTGCTCAGCGAACGTTGTGGCAGAGCGTCTAACGTCTGACTGCCAGCCTATTGGTCCAGTCTTTTTTTTTTTTTTACCACAGCAGTGTTTGCTTGAGAATAGCCAGAACAACATGCTGCTCTCTTTGAGATCTCATGGAGTCATTGATGGCAGTTTAGGAGCTGATGTGAATGGCTCTAGTGCACTTGTTACAAGTGTACCTAAAGATCAGGATGGACTTCTACAATACATCTGCTGTCAGAAGAGGCTTGGTGGTTCCCTCCTCTCACGTAGGTGCTATTCTGACTCTTTAGGTTTCTGTTGGTCCGTAAACAATCCATTAAGAAGTTGAAACTTAAATAGAGCTGATATTTGAGTGTGATCTCTGGTTTCACTGATTTTTATATTTTATTTTATTTATTTATTTATTTATTTATTTTATTATTATTTACTATTATTTTATATTATTTTGTGTTAGAATAATTAATAATTACATATTTGTGCAAATTCAGCAAGATAAGGTGGTACAAGAAACAAGTTTGTTATTTTTATTATTTTTAATACATATTAAACTAATATAAGATGCACATTAATTATGCTTCTAATGATGCATCATGTTTATTATTTTATTTTATTTTATTTGTGCATGCTAGTAGAATAAGAAGTCCATTTGTAGGTTATGCTATCTGTGTGTGATCTAATGGCAGTACATTACCAAACTGGCTTGAAGTAAGATCAGTCCATATTAAAGCTGACACTGAGTGCTTTTGGACCGGAGCCAGCCTTTAAAGTGCTGTTCAGATTGGCCAGGGTTAAATGGGCCAAGTATACTTGCCTTTGTGTCAGAGTTTCAAATTGCAGTCATTGCACTCAAAAATCTCCATAATGGCCATAAAAACAAATCAAGTTAATATTTGTATAACTTGACCTTGGTCTCTGGAGAGACTATATCTGCTGACTCATTAGATTATATCTGAATAGCTTTGATAATTTGTGATTTAGCTCATCACATTTTAAGAGTAATGTTTGTTTCTGTTCAAGGAAGGAAGAGAAACTGAGGGTGCCTGCTTATATAACAGGGCCTTTTACATACACATTAAGGCTAGCGTAGGTGTGTTTTATGTGTTAAAGACAAATAACATTTGAGAAGGGAATTTGTAGAGAGGGTTACACAAACATGGACAATCACAAATGGTCGGTTTTCTTAAAGTGGGGCACAGAACTGTAATTTTAGATTAGATTTGACAGATGAGTTGATTACTGCTTGGCTTGTCCAGATGGCTCAGCTCTAATGTCATATTTTTTCATGGAGTCTTGTGCTGTAGGGAGAATTCTGCATTCAGACTTGTTTAATCCAATTAATGTGTTCTGCAAGCCATTTGTTTCTGGTTAAAGTTGAGTTTAGCTTTGCTACTTGGTGTGCATTGCATGCCGTGATCTACTTTGCTGCAACTTTCATGTTGATGTAAAAAAGATGCTACTACTTATCCCAGGACAGATGCTGTTTTATGTTTTGTAAGTCATGTTTTGTTAAATGTTGTTTTATATTGTATTTATGTTGTGTGAAACATGTTTTGTATTTTATGTTTGGTTAATTGTTGTTTTGCTTTGTTGTTCTTCAGGTTTTGTATTGTTTTTTGTTGTTGTTTGTTTTTGTTTTTTAGGTTTTATGTTATGTTAAATGTTATATTTTTATATTATTTTAGTTTATTTTTTAAGTTTTTGTTGTTTTTTGTAAAAAAAATTATTTTATGTTTTATGATGTTTTTATGATATGTAATGTATGTTAAATGTTATGTTTTGTTATTTTGTTCTTCAGGTTTTATATTATTATTTTATTTATTTTTTGGCTTTTTCTTGTTTTATATTTTGTTAAATGTTGTTGTTTATTTATATATATAAAATATATACATTTTATTTTTTTAGGGTTTATGCTTTTTTTTGTGAAATGTTATGTTTTGTTATTTTAGCTTGCTTAGATTTGACTATTTTAGCATAATCCATTTTAGAGAAATACATTCAAAACATTTTCAACTATCTGTCTTTTGTTGGGCAGATGGTCTCAAATCAGCAATGTGGACCAGACCTTTTGCTGTGTTGTCAATAGTGTGTCTATATGTTGCTATTTAGACTACCTTCCCCCACTAAAATGATGAAACTGCAGGAAAGAAACGGGTTAAACGGGTGTAAGGATAAAAAAGCTCTTGTTTCTGCTGTGTGTAGCAAATAAACAAGAAAATGCAGAGGGCATGTGAAGTCTGGTAATGAGCTACAGAGAGGGCCTTTCCTCCAGACTCTGTAAACAGACCTCTCTCACCTGTACAATGCTGCACTGATCGATTAGTCAAGTGTGTCACGGCAGAGACTTGTCCTGTGCTCGTGCTAAGCTTTCATTCAAACCTCAACCTTCCTCTGCTCTCAAATTCAGCCTGGCAAAATCAGCAAAGCCTCTGTACTCAAACTATGCTGTAAATTAAGACAATATCAAGGCTTGGGTTTCCATCTGCATTATATATTTCCAGCATGAGGTCATCAGCCAGCATTCCTTCCTTCCATTTATATTTTAATTTTATTTTAGTTTATAATAATGTGTGTTACAGTTATGCATAAGCTTCCATTTCTAACCAAGTTCTGTTTAGAGAAAAATGCTATAATGTTACGTTTTGTTTAGATAAAGTGACGAATATGTGAAGTAATTCACCCTGGCACTGACTGCCTCCAGACTCTGTAAACAGACCTCTCTCACCTGTACAATGCTGCACTGATCGATTAGTCAAGTGTGTCACGGCAGAGACTTGTCCTGTGCTCGTGCTAAGCTTTCATTCAAACCTCAACCTTCCTCTGCTCTCAAATTCAGCCTGGCAAAATCAGCAAAGCCTCTGTACTCAAACTATGCTGTAAATTAAGACAATATCAAGGCTTGGGTTTCCATCTGCATTATATATTTCCAGCATGAGGTCATCAGCCAGCATTCCTTCCTTCCATTTATATTTTTATTTTATTTTAGTTTATAATAATGTGTGTTACAGTTATGCATAAGCTTCCATTTCTAACAAAGTTCTGTTTAGAGAAAAATGCTATAATGTTACGTTTTGTTTAGATAAAGTGACGAATATGTGAAGTAATTCACCCTGGCACTGACTGTGTCAGTGCTGAGCACTTTTTTTTTTTTTTACTTGATAGTGATTTGAACTGCTGCTGACGGTTCCTTTTACAGATAATCATTTCCCCTTTCCCTGATATATAATGTTCTAATTAACTCTTGCTGTCCAACACACCTGATCAATGTGTCTTGCAGCCAGTGGCCCATGTTTCTCTCTCTAAAACCTGATCTTCGGTTACTCTTTTGGGGCTTGTCCAGCGTGCTTTACATTATTGATCAGATTTCAAAGTTCTTTCCAAGTTTCAAACTGATGCTCATTCCGGATTTTTCTCTTTTTTTCCACAGGCCCCCCGATGCCAAGACAGACCCCTCAGGTGCAGAATGGCCCTTCACCAGAGGAGCTGGAGGTGCAGAGAAGGTAGAAACCAAAGTTACAGACACTGACTGCAGTAAACCGTATAAACAGGGGTTGATGTGTAGTAGTGGCTTGAATCAGCTAGCAAACAAAAAGCCTTCGGGTTCTGATGCTTACTCATCATTTAAAGGTGTGGTAAGTTATTTATTTGTTTCATTTTTCCCCAAATCCCAACAGAACTGTGATATTTACTCAAAATTAATTCTTTAAGGTGTAAAATAGGGCTGCAAAGCAATTAATCGATTCAAAATAAAAGTTTGTTTACATACTATATGTGTGTGTACTGTGTATATTTATTATGTATATATAAATACACACACATACATGTATAATTAAGAAAAATGTTAGATTTATAAAGTATTTATATTTAGATCTAATATAATTTATATACAAGTGTTTACATACAAATGCATAGGATACATACAAATATATATTTTAAATAAATACGTGTGTGTGAGTGTATGTATACATAATAAATATACACAGTACACACAAATATAATATGTAAAAAATTTTTTTAAATTGATTAATCGCTGAATTGATGCAGCCCTAGTGTAAAATTAGTTTTAGTGGGAAAATGACATCCACAAAACACCTTCCACCCCCATGGAAGAACATGTGCACTCATAGATTACGAGTTGACATCTGCATGTGTGATGGTGAGAATATGAACCAGGTGAACTCTCACACTGCAGAATCAAACGCAGATAGTGCAGCAATGTAATGTTAATGTCTGTTGGACTAAGTTCAGTTAAATCGCCACTTTGAAGCCCTGAATTCGCTTTTTCATGAGCGTGTTTTATCAAGATTTCTGTGGACTTCAAAGGATGACGGAGGCTGTTATTCACCCTGGTCTTGTTAATGAAAAGCTTTTCTACAATGAGTTCCCAAAGGAAGCAGCAGTCAAGGTTGAGGCTGCTTGAGTGGAATATACATACTCTAAGCTCACTGCTTGCTTGTCAGAGTTTTCTTTCTACTTTTTGCTTTAATAATAGAATGCCATTGATGCAACTATTGCGTCTCTATTGGTTTTCATTGCAGTAAGGCTTAAAATGTTATCATGATTTACTTACCCTCAAGCCATCCGGGATGTATATGACTTTCTTCTTTCAGACGAATACAATCGGAGTTATATTAAAAAACATCCTGGCTCTTCCAAGCTTTATAATGGGAGTGGATGGTAGCCCAAAATTTGAAGTCCAAAAAATTTAACCAATTCATTATAAAAGAAGTCCACACGGCTCCGGGGGGTTAATAAAGGCCTTGTGTAAGAAAAATATCCATGTTTAAAACGTTATAAACCTTAATCTCTAGCTTCCGCTAACTGTCGTGTGTGCGCTCACGAGAGAGTGGTGTCCAGCGGATGACGTAGGTGTAGCGTAAACTCTGGTGAGAATATGCTAGTCTTGCAAGAAACAAGTTTTGTTTACAGCAAAGGAAAACCAGTGTCCTCTTGGCTTATATTGAAATCCTCCGACATTTTTCTTTACAAATCCTC